TTAATGATAATGACTTGATTTCCATTATCTTCTTTATTTTTATTAGTTATGAAATGACTTGGTACCTCCGCAAATTTACACTTCAAATTGCCTTTTTCTTTATAAGTAAAACTTCATTTCTTGAAACCATCAATTGTAACTTGCACCTTTTAAGACTGAAACTAATCTTGAAATTTTAGTTTAAGAACTTGCATTTCCTTCTTAAATTATTTATCCATGAATTCAATTCTCGTTTTTATTTTTATTATATTTATTTATTCATTTTCTTAATCTTGTTTCAACTTCTCGGTTTGTGTTCGCGTCTTCTAATATCTTATTCCAGGTCTTTGCTTTTTGACTTATACATTCACCAAAACAGAACAGCCTCACTGCATTAAAGGTAGTGTATGTTTACCTAAATATAATTATTAAATTCTTTGTGGCATAAATATATTATTTAGAAGCTGAATATTTAGACTTCCCTCCTCCTCCAATCAAAAAAGACTTCTGCAGCCTTATGGATTAAATTTTGTCGGTGTTTTTGATATTCAAAAATTTTCAAGTTTTTAGAAAAAGGTTCTAATTTTAAACACCAATAAAGCTGTTTTTTTTTATCACATAATCAGTTAATTTTTTGTTTTTTCCATATTTTCATGTTTTATATTTAGTACTATTTTTATCATATTAAAATATTTGATATTTTTCATCTGATACTTTGTACATTACTGGCACATACATTCCGTACTTATTGATAATTTATATTTAAATTTTCCCACAGTTACACAAATTCTGTGACAATGAAACTATTCATTATAACTAGATGTATGCAATAGGTGTAAAGACAGGCAACGAACAATTAATAGTAAAAGCAAGAGAAGAGATTGATTAATAAATATTAACCCTAAGGAATTAAAAGTTATTCGTATTTTGTAAAAAGAAGGACTAATACATAATCGGAATTTCTTGTTAAAATCAAATTGGAGCTGCCTTAGAGTTTTATAACATCCGGAGAACTAAATTTTACTAAAAAAGGATACATGCATGTGAATTAAATTCATAAAAGAATCCCAATTATTAAAATTTACAATACGAATTGATATTTTTATATTAATTATTTAAATAAATCAAATTGAAAATTACTTTAAGGAAATACCAATAAAACGTAATCATTTTATATAGCGTGTTCAAAATTAAAAATTTCCATATTTTGGCAATTTTCTTGAAAAATCCAAGCAAAAGGTACAAATTATTATATTGTTTTCCAAAGCAGTACTAGAAATGAAATTCTGGAGTATTTCTCTTTTAGTGATAAATTCTGAAGTCATAGTGATCATAATTTAATTGACATCCATATTTTTCAAACAGAATTTCATTGAAGAAAGGCATAGCAAGAATATGAAGCTTGCAGCGTTGTAATTTTTTAAAATACTCTGCCCAGAATAGAAACGATTTTTTTCTCAATTCAATTTAGCATGACAATTCAGCGTCTCGTTAATTCTTCACCTCAGCAATGACTGATTGGATAAGACAGCTAAGCACAGTTAGTTCAATCAGGGGTCTTACCTTTTGTGTAAAATAGCGTGTGCATTTGTGGTATTCACACATGCATCGCTTGAATAAGAGCCAGTGCTCTTGTTGTAACATGCATATATGCCAATTCCTCTCTTCTGAAAGTTTGTCTTTCACAACTGTATACTTCCTCTTAGAGTGATAGCCGTAATATTCTTAGCCGTAATCCAATAAATCCCAAATCTCTGCTCCGAAAATTCATATGACTACTCCGATAATATGATTTACATAACACATGCCTTCCAGCCCAATTTGATGCCCAGGCCCGAATGCCCCGTTCTGGTTACGCCACTGGTTACTGTTTCCAGAAGACTACATTAGAGAGGTCTGTTTGCAAGAAGATCTGCTACTTGAGCACCGCTGACTTCTGCGCACAGGAGAAAGCATGGTGCAATGATCATCGACTTAAACTAAGCACTAAACATTAGTTGGAGTACTATTCACAGATTCAGTCTCGATTCGGTTTAATCACTGTTTCTCGATGTACTTCAACTGGTGAGAGTCAGGGACCCACTATCTATTCTCTAAGATACGAAAAAGGAATCAGTATGGGGTGGAGGTTTGATGCTTTGGCTAGGCATCACGTTGGATGGCCGTCTCATGTCTCTCTACAAAGGTTCTGTGATTCTTGAACGCAAAGCTGATGTTCGCATTTTCAGGGATGCAGACCAGCCTCAATTCATTTTTATGAACGCCAGTGCTTGACCACATAAGACTAACTTTGTGGGAAGTGAACTGTTTTCTTGGAAGTGAGGATTTTAACCGAATAGATCGGCCAGCATTACCTAAACCTTACAGAACTTATTTGGGACGCTCCTGGGAGGGCAGCTGAACTCGCCCTCACCCTCCCATAATCGTCTATGGCCTGGAAATGTCGTTGTTGCAGAAATCAGGCCCTCTGCCATAGGGTTTCATAAATTGCTTCATTTCCATGTTATGAAACTGTGCCATTATCAGCGAGGACAATAATCCCAACAGCTACTTTTTTTGTTTGATCATACAATCCTTGTATTATCCTTGTCCCATGCCAATGAACTTTATGCTCAGTCATGAGTGTGTGGCATCTTTGTTGTTTGGTGTATTTTTTGTATTACATCAACCTATCTTCATATCAAATTTCGCTAAAATCTTTCTACAGTTCTGGAGATAAAAGGACAAATGGGCAAATTCTCTTAAATTTTGCACATCAGTGTATTTAAGACACTTAAGGCTCCTCACTTAGATTTAGACACTTAGAAACACTTAAGGCTCCAGCAGATGTCTACAAATTTATTTTAGGATTCCAATGATTTTGATGTCGAACCTCAATACTGAAAATTTATCAATGGAAACTCTCACCGTACTTATAGCTGAATGGAGAATCGTAGGGAGAAAAATTACGTGGGAGTGCAAAATCTGATGTTTTAGAAAGGTGTTGCCTTCTGTGATTTCTTATGATTTTATAGATTGTCGCTATTTTCAGTACTTCTGCATCCTAAACTTATTGTTTTGTGAGAAATACGAGAAAATTGCAAAATGTTTGAAAAACTGCAATGCAGCTCCTTAGAATGGATCCAATTTCTGATCGAATTTTCGTTTTATAAATAATTATTTAGGTTTAATCCCAAACTATACTTTCCTTGATCATATCTGCACCTGTGCTAGGAAATTTCTTTGTAAAGTTTGCAAAATCGAACGATTTTGTATCCTTTGCATTAGGAAGTCCTTCACTTAAACACGTTGTAGCTAAATGAAATAAAATTTTTCAGAGTTGTTAGAGGAAAGGTTTTTAGAGAAATATATATAATTTCTCAGGCTTCATATGTGCTGTATTAGGTATTAATCTTCTTTGGGACTAATGATGCACAGTTTGCCCGTTACTTTTAAGTGTAATGGTTTTTCTTGACTCTATTATCCGATTTGTGAATTATTACTACAAATGGGTAGCATTTTGAATAGTACAATTCCAAGAGGAAAAGCTATTTTTCTAAATTATCAGAAAAATCAAAAATTGCTATTATATTTTTCCTATTGGACTTTTCAAATTTCCATAGATTTCTTTACATTGACAGCACGAGCTAATAGTGCGCATAAGAATTCTTTCTCTTCAGTAATACATACAGCTTGATTTGTCTTTAAAATTAATTGGAAACCTAATTGCAAGCATGAAAAGAGCTCAGATACGTAAATAATTGAATTCTCTTAATTTAAACATATAATTTACGCTTAAGTATTTCCGCGTATTCTTGGAACGAGTGATATCAACGACTGAAATTATTCAAAAACTAAACGTTAGCGTACATAAATACTACGCTGAAAACCAACTTTGCGTATTCTGTGAAAAAGTTCTTTATTAATCAATATTTTATTAACCAAGAATTTTAGAACTATCGTCTGAAGCTTTACTCCTTACACATATTTGTACGGTTCTGACAAATGAATGCATACGAATATTAAGAAAGCAGCCCATCAAATGTAATTTCTATACTTAAAAAAAATCCGTACTGGCTTCGAATATGACTCGAGTTCAGATAAATGATAACCCTGACCATGTCAAATGCTTTAGATGAAAAACAATTAAAAAGCAATATCATTCCCTTAAATGCAAACATTAAAGAATAAAAGATAAAACTAATATGTTTTTTAAATGTTAAACTGCTCTTGTAAAACACGTATGGTTGTTTAAAGGGTAAAATACAAAGAACAAATTGTTTGTAATTAAACCAATATTTTTTAAAATTTTAAGCAAGATTCTTTAATAACTACGAACATTATGGAAGTGTATTATACAGGGTGTATCAATACAGCGTTGACAAACTTTCAGGAAAGATAGAGTTCACCTAGACGATGGGAAATCACATAGGAATGCATGGTCGGAAACGCTTTCCTGGCGCGGTAGTGACGATACAAAAGTCAAAGAAAGCACACGAACGGGTAAGAATACATGTTTATTTTTCGGAGTACAACAAAAACGAAGAAAAAACAACATAGAGAGACAACTATCATCATCAAAGAATGTGTTCGAAATTACGACCCGGACCGTGATGCTGGAACCGCGCGTCATGCATGTTCCATTCGTGATGCAGATCTTCCACGCGCTAGAGAAATGAAGCCTGCATCGCGGTCCGGGGTCGTAATTTCGAACACCTTCTTTAATGACGCTCGTTGTTTATTTTTGTTCTTATTTGTAGGTTTCCGCTGTCTGAACACAGTAAAACATGTTTTGTCTCACTGTTTGTGTCCTTTCTTTTTTGCTTTTTGTGTCGTCACCACCGCGCCAGGAAAGCGTTTCCGAGCATGCATTCCTATCTGATTTCCAATCGTCTAGGTGTACTCTACGTCTCCTGAAATTTTGTCAAGGCTGTACTGATACACCTTCTGTAATATACTTAAGTGGACTAACATATATTAATCTCTTATTATAAAACAAAAAAAAATGTGCTCTTTCAAAAATTTAAAAGCTGTTAACTTACCAAGTCTAGTCGCTCTGCAATAAAGTCATCTATTACTTCTACTATTGCATTGGAAAAAGTTCTATTTTGTGACCAGAAACGTCGTACAAGAGAAGTGGTTAATTCACATGCCATAGCTAATTCTTCAGTAATGGTTTGTCCAGTGCGCGAGACGAATTGCAGCGCAGCTCGCATTGTGCGAAACGTTAAACAGTTACTCAAATGTTCAACAGCTCTGGAAACCTGTTTCCAACACAATATAAGATTAATACAAGTGTGACTTCTTTAAGGAGCTATGACAAGTAAAATGCAATTTCAAGATTGAATGTTTAAAAAATTATTAAAAAATATTATGAGAATAAAAATAGAGGCGATCAAATAAGCTGCGTGATAATATTAAAGTTTTGTATGTTAAATAAATTTTAAAAAGTGAAAATATGCGATTGAGAGAAGCTGGTATAAGTCCATACTTTACGATTCATTCACACAAATATGGTATAATAAACTACTCGTATTTCAAGTTTAACTAATTGGATCATGTATAGACCAATGTTGCTGATTTACAAGTCGCTGGCTTTTCTGGTCCGTTGCAGGAGAGATGTATGAGGTTTGATCTTTTTAATAAAGCTATTACATTCCAAAGATTTATTGATTCTTTATGTAATTGAGTTAATATAATTGATCGATATAAAATTGCTTTAGTCTAACTTAGATATAACTCAATAAACCCACGTAAGTAGGTTATAAAATATAATCTAAATTTATTTACATTTAAAATATCAAATACGTTATATGCGAGTATCTGCAATTTCCACTGAAACTGTGCATTTGTTCAATGTGCATTCCATTCGCGCCAATCACACTTTCAAAGTGTGTTTAACAGCAGCGCTAAGAGTTTCTAAATCAATTGCACTAACATGACGTGTTGCTGTAATTGATGGAGATTTTGCTTTTAGTTCAGGCATAGTCCGATGCTTTCTCTCTACTCATGATCTTTTAGGAATCCTCGCAACCAGAAATCACAGGAATTCAAGTCCGAAGAACGAGTCTGAATTCAGAAAATTCACTAGACACTCGAAAGACTTCTCGAAATTATCCGATCATCTCTTTGTTGGCACGAAACAGTGCCTTCACTAGTCCGGCAATGTGAGTTGTGCACCATCTTGTATTAAAAGAGTAGTCTCTAAATATTCTCCCTCTTGTAAGGCAGGAATAACTTGTTGCTGAAGAAGTTCGTAGAAGAGGGCACCCGTGATGGAACACCTTTGAAGGTCTTGAGAAGTATTCTCTTAAAAATAAAGACCAAAAATGAAATCACCAGTAAATTCACACCATACCGTAATGTAATCAGGATACAGAGATCGTTTATGCACAACATTAGGACTTGCCCCATATGCGACAGTTTTGAGTATTAACTGCTCCGTCTAGGCTAAATGCGATTCGTGTTCCAAGGTAGTGCAATGTCAATGGCTATTCTGGCAAAACGAAGGCTAGCAAAATCACTGAGTTTGTCCGAGTCTGCAGGATGCAGCTCTAGCAGAACTTAGATGTTCTATTTATACCACTTGAATGGATTACAGAATCTTTCGACCAGGGGACAGACAAATTGCGTAATACAACTCGAGCACTTGTCAAAGAAAACTGGTAACCAGGCACTCTTTCGACCACAACAAGAGCAACTTCTTCCACAGTTTCATTTGAAATCCGTTTCCGTTCTCTTCCTCACAGCACACACAACTCCTCAGTCTCTTCAAATTTAGTAGTCACCTTTTTCAAAGCCTGACTCAATACAGGCCCTGTTTGCAAACTTTTCAAGCATCAATATTCTCGCAGTGCAGCTGAAAAATTACTGCAGTTCTGATAAGACCACTGAGTCCTTCTCTAAAGGAATGGTGTAGAATAAATTTATGGCACTGAATACTTGCTTTTTAAAACACTTCCAATATGCATACTACATTGCATGAAAAGTGCAGTTTATCTGTCGAAATATGAAGTAGTATTAATTTCTGTTATAGATTTGCTTTCCCCAAAGTCCATGTAAGACATACACTAAGTTTCAACGAAATAGGTCTTCCAGAACAGACTCTACATAGGTTTAAGTAGGCTACCTTTAATTATAAGCTTCTCTGTATTTTTGTTGCTGAGTCATTTCACACGTGAAATCGATAAAAAGATGACGAGTCATATGAAACGTAACTGGACTGTGATACTAGATTAACAGCATTAATGTTTTTTTTCTGTCAAACATAATGCTGAGGGTTCAAAAGTATCTTCAGAGTTGCATACTGTTTATTGAAGAAGATGTTGAGCATTGAACCGTCATAAAAGGCCAACTGTTGATCAAAGGAGCATATTTTTTCTTAGATATATTCAACATTTTTATTGTTACTTCATTACACTTACGAAATTGGAATTCTTTCTGTCGACTAGAGTGAGTCATTTTGAGATTCTTGTCATGTCTTTTTCTGTATTACCAAGTACTTTACTTCTCAAATTTGCTAGAATGATCTCGCTACTTTTCTCTATTTCTCTCTTCTTTAATTACTGTATAAAATCTTCAGCTGAAAAATATATTAAATCTTTATCATTCGGAGAATTATGTCAATATGCTAAGAGCGTTGCATCCGGTGTAAAAAAGACTGCAAATTTTCAGTGAACAAGCAAAATACGTCACTGCTAGGACCAAGGACAAAGGCATTTTGTTTACGGAGTATTTTCGCAATATAATTACAATTACCTCCACATAATCGAAATCAAAATTCAAATAATTAAGACGGAGCATTCGCTAAAGAAAGAAAACACCATTACGTGTTTAAAAGAGGAGTTACATAAGAGGTCCCCGAGGACAAGAGCAATGACATCCTGAGACGCATGCACACAAAAAAAGTGATAAGTATGTTGCGTCTCAATCAATAAACATGCAGATGACTCTTTATTGTTAAATCATTGATTGTAAATAGATTACCTATCTATCTACATTTTGATCTCCCTCCCCGTTCAATGAAGAACACTGCGGGAACACAATTTTAAATCCTGTTCCAAAACTGCCGAAACAATTGATGAGCCATCCTCTCAACATATTCAGCTGTTACAAAATGTACAGAAGCGGGAAGAGAGTTTCCCCGCAAAGCAGTTTTAGGGTTGCCATAAAATGGCAAGGGAAGGCATGGTTGCCACATTCGGCGAGAAATTGCCCATTTGGCGACAAAATTGGCGATATGCCATGAACGGATGGAGAACTTTCTGGAGCGAATTCTTACCGGTTTAGACCAGAATGTTCTCGAACACAAGCCGAAAGCTATATAAACCCTGATGGTCCACAGTCATTTAGAGTATCCCTCGTTGAGAGGGCGAGTGAGAGTGCCTCGTAAATTGCGAGATAGTCAGTATCGAGTTGATGTATCGTCTAGCGAGTCAATTTTTACGGAGTCGATCGAACTGACGGCAGCGAGTGCCGAGTGGGTCGTCGAGTTCACCGTAGGAGTCTCTTAGTGTATCGCGGTTAGTGCATTGACGAGAGAGCGTGTTGAGCTCCAGGAACGACTGAACCGAAGAGTCGGGAGCCATGCTCTGTGTCGTCGAGTGCATCGCGAGTTGTAGCGTGGAGAGTCTCGAGACGTATAGTTCCGAGAACAACCAAGCAGAGTCGGGAGCTGTACTCTGGTGCTTTGCAGTGAAGCTGTCTCTACCGTGATAGCTTGATAACCTGAAAGCTGTGACAGCGTGTTTATAGTAGATTTTCGACGATTGTAAAAAGTGACTTTGGAGCTGTCCTGATCAATATCGGCCAATAAAGTGTGTTTCGATACTTCATTAAGTGTCGTCGTTATTCACTCCAAATCTACGAACCCCGTACGAACGTGAAGGCAGAAAATAACGTAACAACTGGTGTCACAGAAGAAAGAAAAACGCAACACAGCCATAAGGTTGGAAGCATTAATATTGATTAACCGCATTAATTGGAAGTTTGATTAACCTCGTCAGCGAAACCCACAGATCCTTTTTTAAACATATAAAGTAATAAAATAATAGAGTAAGGAAGGAAAACTTATGCAGCATATATAAACGGAAAGAAGACTTGACATAATTTTCTTTGGTGTCCGCCGATAACATCGCGGCAAAAACATCGCGGACGAAAACGTCGCAGAGAAAACAAGGCAAGGCGAAAACGTCGTGCTACAAAACATCGTGGGAGAAAACATCGCAAAAAGAAAACATCGCAGTTCTAAAACATCGTGGTACAAAACATCGTCGTCGAAAATAAAGCGGTTCAAATACTTCGCAGTTTAAAAATATCGTCGTCGAAAATATCGTGGTAAAAAATAAAGTAACTACAAATCATCGCGTGACGATAACATCGCAGACATGCTTTTTTTCAGACTTTAATAACTGTAAATAGATATTCCCATAACAATTTGTGAGCGCAAAATAGAAAGTAGGATAATTTGTTTTCATATTTTATATTAACTAATTTTTGCTGAGGAAATAAGAAGGAAACTTAAGCATAGAAAATTAATGCAACTTATAGCACTTAATAGAATTTTAAACCGACATAGTTAACTAACAAAGACCATTAATAAATAATTTTTATAAAGTTTTTACTGGTAATTTTTCATAAAAAGTATAATCTATAAGTTGCATTTAATTTTCTATGCTTATGTTTCCTTCTTACTTTTTCAGCAAAAATTTATTAGTTAATCAAAAAATGTGAAAGTAAAAATTATTATTCTTTACATCTTGCGCTCTCAAATTATTATGGGAATATCTATATACAGTTATTAAAGCCTAAAAAAAGCATGCCTGCGATGTTATCGTCATGCGATGATTTGTAGATACTTTATTTTTTACCACGATATTTTCGACGACGATGTTTTCAAACTGCGAAGTTTTTTAACCGCTTTATTTTCGACGACGATGTTTTGTACCACGATGTTTTAGAACTGCGATGTTTTCTCTTCGCGATGTTTTCTCCCACGATGTTTTGTAGCACGACGTTTTCGCCTTGCGTTTGTTTTCTCTGCGACGTTTTCGTTCGCGATGTTTTCGGCTGTAACCATGATTGCAAATTCTGGTAAATGCTTTGCTTTAATAATTGAAAGTAATGGACATTGCCATGTATAATGTTTAGCATCCGCTAGATTTGCTGGTGGTCTGCACCCACATCGTGCATTTCTTCTTAAGAATCGCTTGAAATTAGGTGAAAACTTTCCATGATTTGCTGTTAATTGTGCTAGCAGGATTTGTTTTTATTCTTTTTAGGGATACTTTTAAAGATCTTTAACAATGTTTGTATTAGTTTAATTGCCCTTTCATTTTGCGGGGGTGGGGCGGAGGATAATATCCAATTGAATCTATCTCTAAATGCACCCTTATTAAATAACGCACGATATAACTGAATTAATGAAATAGCAGAATTAAAAGAAACATTTGTCTAACGGAAAGCACTTAATTAACTCCTGTTATTGGCATTATCTAGTAATTATTTGATAAAATAAAAAAATGTACTTACACTAAAGCCATCAGAATAAATATTTCTCATAACTCTACTTTCATCTTCATTTAAACCTAAGAAGGAAAAATCCATGTATTTTTGAGCTACATAAAAATACAGGAAATTACAAAATATACAAAGAACAAATTGTACCTTGAATATATACATAAAAATACAGGAAATTACAAAATATACAAAGAGCAAAATGTACCTTGAAGCTGATTTTCACGTTCAGCTTCTGACAATGCACGTATTCTTCTGCTGTTCAAATTGTCAGCTACACGTCTTAAATTTCTAGCAATCATTCTGATTCTTTGTCTCTGCTGATTATTTAAAGGAGCTGGAAAAATTTTCATACATAGTGAAATAAAGTAAAATATTTATTAATCAGTCAGTGTGCAAAAATTTTCAAATAATAGTAAGTAAAATCCTAGTTAAGTGAATTTCACTGAACTACAACCCAGCTTCATAGAAATAGTGTAGAAAAACATTATTAAAATGTATGAGTTGAAAAACCAGTCGTTAGCATTTATTTTCAACAGTAATTTTTTTCAGTGCACCAATTTTAGCAGTAATACATGTAATAAAGTGAAAACAGTATATTTTATTCAAAATTTGTGATCTTTAAAACCATTCCAGCCGATTATTTTCAAGTATTTGCGTTCACTGATGGATTGCGTCAAATAGTAAAAATAAAATAAATTGAAAGTAAAAATAAAATAAATCTTAGTCGAATAAGAAATAGTAAAAGATGTTTTAGAGAGTTAATTAGTTGCCAAGAAATATTAAACTCGATGAATTTTAAAATATATTTTTACGTTGGAACCGAAATAAGGTTTTGGTATTCTACGAAGAAATATATCAATGTACAGTATCAAAACTATCATTGATGATAACAAACTTCTAGAAAAGAATTTAAGAACTTGGAAACTTAGTGATTTTTGAATTAGAAACTTATGTTCAGTAGTCTTATATAACAGATAAGTGCAAGGTAAATTTTGAGCTAAATTCAAGTGCTCAGGTAAAAAGCAGCTCAAAAGATTATATACGTATCTCTTTTTTATTTTCAAGTGTGGGCCCACCAGCGGTCGAGCGGTAAAGTCGCGGAACGCTGGTAGTTCGGTCCGAGGTTCGAATAGTGGTATTTCACAGTCTATAAATTAATCTGTAACTTTCATCAACTTTTGGAATTTTCAGTTTTGAAAGTTACACTAATTAGGTAAACTGAAAATTGTGTGTTAAAGAATTATTCAGTCTTTGTTGAAATTGTTTAGCTATTTGGAATTGCAATACTGAATTTTTCTATAAATGAAAATTTGTATGGAAGTTTGTTATCCAGTAAAGCAAACATCAATTGACGGATAGACTAAAATTTGCCAAAATTTTAATACACACAAACTTTAAAAGAAGACATATCAAATGACCCTTTATTGAGTCAAATGTAAATAAACATAAAGAGAAATCGTATTTGTCTAAAATTAACTAGTACACAGTCATTTAGTGACTGCCACTTATTGCTATTATTCTATGAGCTCAGACATTGTGAGCAGCTGCTTATATGGTCACTGGTCCAGAATTGTTCATTCTGTTGTACTAGAATGCTATTACATTTAGTGACGCGATAACATAAATCTCTCGTCACTGTCGGTTATTTTTCATTGTATTTTTTATAATATAATAAGTCTTGTATTCAGGTCTTCAATTCATGCTACGCTTGTTCTTAAGATGTGGAGAAACGTTTTGACACTTCAAGAATACGTTGAACTGTGTGATACACTATTGAATGTCTAATACAAAATTATTCAGGACATTTTTTACGAAACTGAGTGTAACTATCTAACATAATAATTTTTAGGACATTTGTGATGATTCTTTAGTGTATAATCTGCCACGACGAAACATATGCTTGATTGCACTTACAACGTGTATAACAGAGCAATCATTATGTCTCTTGTTATCAAAGCATGTTTTTCTGCCTGCAAATAAAAATAAATGTCTTTAAGCATTTTTTTTTAATTTTTGAGTTTTAAAAATAATAATTATACAGTGTGTACCCACAAAAGAACCGAGTTTAATATATCCAATAAAATACTTTTCTTTTTTAGAAAATGGAAAATATTTTAATATACTTTCAAAAGGTAAATGTTCCAATCTAAAAATGCAAAAAAAAAAAAAAAAATATATATGGCATATGTGGCACCGCACTCTCTCGATGAAATTCGTAATTACTTTTTCCCATAGCCTATCGAGGTGGCTGATGGTACATTCAATTACGACTTTAATTTTTTTTTTGTTTGACTTTAAGTTCGGATTTTTTGGGACTTGCAATAACACTGCCACTCCGAATAGTGGTGTTTTCAACAAACCGGCTAGATCTAGATCGATGGCTTGGTGATTTAATATCTGCTGTCAAACCTGTGCCTTCAGCTTTGTTTATCAGTCTATGAGTTGTTTTATTAGGTTCACTTGCACTTCCAAAGATTTCATGAAACTTCATAATAATCTCTGCATAACACTCGCCATTCTTGCAATGAATTTTCACAATCGAAACTCATTGTTGCTTTGTGTAGCGCTCCACATTGGCATAGCGGCAACGAAATTGCGAAATGAACTGACAGTGATAAAGTGGCGATGTTGCCAGGTTAAAGCAAACTCAAGATTCTTAAATCGGAAAATTCATCTGTTGTAAGTACGTAAAAATATTTTCCATTTTCTAAGAATAATGCATTTTTTCGGCATACTAAATCCGGCGTTTTTGTTGGGTCACCCTATACAATATCTACATTATTTGGCGATCTGTAAGATAATACTGATGTAGATAGCCAGATGATTCATCTTTAAACCTATGGTTTAAATTTGTGGTACAAATTAACATCACAAGAAAAGATGTTATATATAATGTTTTTTTTATTTTTTAATCTATTAACTTATTATTTTGCCAGTACTGTACATTTACGTTCACCGACAGTAGATAAAAAGTGGGGGTTCTGCGACACGGGGTGTGAGGTGTGGGCGTGGTCAATGACGTCACACAGAGGGCGGGGCTAAAGGCAACGTCATCACACTAGGAGGCGTGGTCGCGAGTGGAGTTGAGTTGTTTTTAGATTGCTGATTGAGTTGTAGACCTCCTGCTTTTCATTTAAAGTTAGTTTTTTTAAATTGGCAACGGGAAATATTTTCTGCATCTTAATTTTGGATGAAATGGCGATGCTGTCCTCTATTAATAAAAAAGTAAATTATATGTTTTAGAAATATAATTTTTAAGTTTGGTGTTAGAATTATTCAATGCGCGACTCTGAAAACAATGTAAAAGAAACAAATATAAAAAAGATGATTTCCTTCATGAAAATGAAACTACAAGATAATTTTTTTTATTACTCAATTTTATTCTGATACTTTTATCCTTTCTAGTTTTCCATGAAACTTTAACTTATTTTTCTCAGGTTTTCTGTTCATAATAACATATTCGTTTACTGTCATATTTTTTTAATACTTAACGTTTCTAATTTGTAATATTTTATTTAATTTCCACATACTATTTTTTTTTCATACCTTTCATAAATTTCAGCATACCCTGATTTTTAACTTATATGTTATATTTCACAAACGTTTCCGCACATGCTGTTTATTTGTTACATTACTTAATTTTAGATGCAATTTCACACTTTTTTTAACGTTATAATGTTCAATATATTCTGAATTTAAACTTCATTTACTTTTTTTTAAAACCATTCTAGTATTCTATACACACTTTAACTTAGTGGTTTGAAATTCTATTTAAAAAGAAACGTTTATTTTTCGTGATCTTAGTTCTTTTACTAAATTTTCTACAGAATTTCTAATTTCTTTTCACATGTTCAACAATATCTTCCTTACAATAACCGAATATATTTTTAAAAAAACTTAAGTCTATAACTGTTAATTGCTTCTCTTACGTTCATGATTTCCCTTCTGTGTTTATATTTCTTAATTCTAGTTTAACTTATTTATTATAACGTTTTTATTTCTGTCTCATCACTCGTAATTCCAACTCATTTTATCCCTTTTTTATTCATTTTAACGATATGGATTGTTTTTCATTTACTCCATATTCAAATATTTCCTTGCAATTTTTAAAATACTTGTTTTATTCTCCGATCATAATAGATCATCTACAGGTTTTACTCAGAAATTTCCATTCACAACTTTACAGTTTAAAACCATTTTATATGTAACTGTATTTCTTTCTCATATAGTTTTATGGTCTTCAAAGTTTCTAACATCATGTTAGTTTTAAATCCCGATTACCTTTAAGTGTGTTGATAATTTTCATTTCTAATTTTACAACCACGTTCAGTGTTTCATCCACACATACCAAAATATTTCTTACATCTTCTGATATTTAGTCTATGTCATATTTCAGTACTTCAAATGAATTTACAATGCTCACACTATTATTTTTTAAGATGTTTTAGAGACACTGACTATACCTAATTTTACTATTTTTCCTACACTAATTGCATCTATGTCAGCACTCATGATAAACTAGCAAT